CCTATGACAGCTACATATGTTATAAAGTCTTTAATTTTGTCCTGTTAATTCTTATTACAGTCCAAATGTAGTGTTCAAAAATATAAAATTTTTATTAAATATTGATTCGCATAGTCAAAAAATGCCAGCAGAAAAGTAAAAATACAGTTCTTCGATAGTATTTAAGTTGAAAAACACGAAAACCAAAGTTACTTTTGACTTAAATAATAATACCCTCTTTAAGGATTTTCCCATATATAGGTGTATATGTACAATAAATTGGGAAACGACTAAGCTATTCAAAGAAAAAATTTGCTCTCCGTCGTACTATTTTTCCATTTTATGATTCAATAAATGCCACTTAAACTCATCTAGGTCTTTTTGATATGCATATATGTATGTATATACATATATAATAAATAAACATTCATATTTATGATTGCAAATTTAAACCAGTTGTTTTTTGAACAGGTTTTTCTAAAGTCAAACAAGAAAGGAAAGCTAACTTCGGGCGGAGCCGAAGTTGATATACCCTTGCAGAATATTCCTTAAATTATATTCTCCAAAATTATTCATATGATGCATTCTTAATACTCATAAAAAGTCCCAACTTCCTAACTTTAAAAACACCAAAGTTATGACATTTCCAATCGTTCAGTTATATGGCAGCTATAAGATATAGTCGGCCGATCCTTATGAAATTTGGTGGGTCGGATTGATTGGCCAAAAATAAAACCCATAGAAAATCCCAACTTCCTAACTTTACAAACACCAAAGTTATGGCATTTCCGATCAATCAGTTATATGGCGGCTATAGGATATAGTCGTCCGATCCTTATGAAATTCGGTAGGTCGGATTGATTAGCCAAAAATAAAACCCATAGAAAATCTCAACTTCCTAACTTTAAAAACACCAAAGTTATGGCTTTTCCGATCGTTCAGTTATATGGCAGCTATATGATATAGTCGCCCGATCCGGCTCGTTCCGACTTATATACTACCTGCAATATAAAGACAACTTTTGGGAAAGTTTTAAGCAGATAGCTTTAAAACTGAGGGACTAGTTTGCGTAGAAACGGACGGACGGACGGACAGACGGACAGACGGACAGACGGACGGACAGACGGACAGACGGACATGGCTAGATCGACTCTCCTGGTGATGCTGATCAAGAATATATATACTTTATAGGGTCGGAAATGTCTCCTTCACTGCGTTGCAAACTTTTGACTGAAATTATAATACCCTCTGCAAGGGTATAAAAAAGATGCTTTGAACGTAATTTCATTCTTAATTATATTAACACTAAGCCAGCTATACTTGTTAACATACTGTAGATCAACGTAGTACACTTAAAAATTTAAACTTTTAATTAAATATTTTTTGTACACCACGAGAAGTGTTGTACCTAAATTAAAGTGAGTTCCGCTTTAATTTGTATACCCTTGCAGAGGGTAATATAATTTCATTAAAGTGAGTTCCGCTTTAATTTGTATACCCTTGCAGAGGGTAATATAATTTCAGTCAAAAGTCTGCAACACAGTATATATATTCTTTATTAGCATCACAAGGAGAGTCGATCTAGCCATGTCCGTCTGTCCATCCGTCCGTCTGTCCATCCGTCCGTCTGTCCGTTTCTACGCCAATCAGTCTCTCAGTTTTAAAACTATCTGCTTAAATCTTTCCCAAAAGTTGTCTTTCTATTTGCAGGTAGTATATAAGTCGGAACGAGCCGGATCGGGCAACTATACCATATAGCTGCTATAGGAACAATCGAAAAAAAATGTTAACAAGAAAGAAAGAAAAGTTTGGCAAGCCGAAGTTTATATACCCTTGCCGTTATTACAAATCGACTACAATTCGATTTTTATGCCTATATAACTAAAAACAATGAAGCTGTGTCGACTTAGCGCTGCATTTTGCCATCGTTTCTATGGCACCTATATGATATTGTTGTCCGATTTTAATTTAATTAAAACCGTAATTCCATAATATTTAAATATTACCAAGTCCCAAAGCACCACAAAATAAAAATAAAAACAACAAAGTTATAAGTTTTTTGAAATTTTTTTCCAATTGTTCCAATGGGAGCTATCATATATATATCATAGCTATCATATAGTCGCCCGATCCGGCTCGTTCCGACTTATATACTACCTGCAATAGAAAGACAACTTTTGGGAAAGTTTTAAGCAGATAGCTTTTAAACTGAGGGACTAGTTTGCGTAGAAACGGACAGACGGACGGACATGGCCAGATCGACTCTCCTGGTGATGCTAATAAAGAATATATATACTTTTATAGGGTCGGAAATGTCTCCTTCACTGCGTTGCAAACTTTAGAATGAAATTATAATACCCTCTGCAAATATATAAAAACTATAACTTAGTTGTTATACCCTTGCAGAGGGTATTATAATTTCAGTCAAAAGTTTACAACTATATCATAATTACGCTTTTACGTAAACTCGGACAACAATATCATATAGCTGCCATAGAAACGATGGCAAAATGCAGCTCAAATCGACATAGCTTCATTGTGTTTAGTAATATAGGTATAGAAATCGAAATGTACCCGTTTTGTAAAAACTGCAAGGGTATATAAACTTCGGCTTGCCAAAGTTTGCTTCCTTTCTTTTTATACCCTTGCAGAGGGTATTATAATTTTGGTCAGAAGTTTGTAACGCAGTGAAGGAGACGTTTCCGACCCTATAAAGTATATATATTCTTGATAAGGATCAATAGGGGAGTCGATATAGCCATGTCCGTCTGTCCGTCCGTCCGTTATTACAAATCGACTACATTTCGATTTTTATGCCTATATAACTAAAAACAATGAAGCTGTGTCGACTTAGCGCTGCATTTTGCCATCGTTTCTATGGCACCTATATTGTTGTCCGATTTTAATTTAATTAAAACCGTAATTCCATAATATTTAAATATTACCAAGTCCCAAAGCACCACAAAAAAAAATAAAAACAACAAAGTTATAAGTTTTTTGAAATTTTTTTCCGATTGTTCCAATGGGAGCTATCATATATCTATCATAGCTATCATATAGTCGCCCGATCCGGCTCGTTCCGACTTATATACTACCTGCAATAGAAAGACAACTTTTGGGAAAGTTTTAAGCAGATAGCTTTTAAACTGAGGGACTAGTTTGCGTAGAAACGGACAGACGGACGGACATGGCCAGATCGACTCTCCTGGTGATGCTAATAAAGAATATATATACTTTTATAGGGTCGGAAATGTCTCCTTCACTGCGTTGCAAACTTTAAATTGAAATTATAATACCCTCTGCAAATGTATAAAAACTATAACTTAGTTGTTATACCCTTGCAGAGGGTATTATAATTTCAGTCAAAAGTTTACAACTATATCATAATTACGCTTTTACGTAAACTCGGACAACAATATCATATAGCTGCCATAGAAACGATGGCAAAATGCAGCTCAAATCGACATAGCTTCATTGTGTTTAGTAATATAGGTATAGAAATCGAAATGTACCCGTTTTGTAAAAACTGCAAGGGTATATAAACTTCGGCTTGCCAAAGTTTGCTTCCTTTCTTTTTATACCCTTGCAGAGGGTATTATAATTTTGGTCAGAAGTTTGTAACGCAGTGAAGGAGACGTTTCCGACCCTATAAAGTATATATATTCTTGATAAGGATCAATAGGGGAGTCGATATAGCCATGTCCGTCTGTCCGTCCGTCCGTCTGTCCGTCTGTTTCAATACCGTTTGCGAGCTCAGTTTAAAAGCTAGCGATCTGAAACTTTCACAGTCGTCCTAAAACAAGTGTACGCAGATCAAGTTTGAAAACCGCCCCGATCAGATGTCTATATCCTATAGCTCCTATAGGAACAATCGGATATAACTTGCAAGATTGGAAGATATTTCGCGCAGTGTAAAAGCTATTGACATAAATCTTTCCAAATCTTATTTTTTTATGCGTACCTTGATCAGGGTAAAAGCGACGATCGGACGTCTATATCATATAGCTCCCATAGGAACAATAGGGTGTAATCGGTCCAAATTTGACGATTATCAGAATATTTGGCGCAGTGTGTAAGCTACTAACATAAATTTTTCCAATTCTTATTTATTTACGCATATCTTGATTAGGGTAATAGCGCTTGCCGCTCGGTAGTCTATATCTTAAAGGAGATAGGAAAAATTGTTAAAGTCTGCGAAAGTATCCCTTTTTTTCTATTTGTATATGACATTTTTGCAGTATAAAAGCAATTGACTTGAAACGATGCAAATCTAGTTTACTTATGTATACCTTATTCCTTTCGCTACTTTTTCACTTTTAGCAATTTCGGCAAAGTCTGCAAGGGTATTAAAACTTCGGCTTGCCGAAGTTAGCTTCCGTTCTCGTTAAATATGCAAATACGTTATAACACTTTACTTTTCGAGTAATCATATTTTAATCATTCGTTTAAAAAAACGCAATAACACCATAGCTCGACACAGTGTTGGCCCAGCCTTAGGTTTAATCAATAGTAATAACTGAGTGTTTATATTTTCGGATGATGCATATGGATCATTAGAATCTGTATGCTTAATCCAAATTTTTTAGCTCTTATAGCTTATTATTTACAGCTATTTATCAAAAGTATATATACGTATACCATATATACACTTAAACTTTGAACTTCAGTTAAAATAGCTTTGCTAATGATGATGGTATAATAATATTTTCTTTAAAAAAGTTCGGGAAAATCTGGATGTATACACAAATAATGAGCAATACTATAAAGTGGTATTAAAGGCTTTCAAAAACAAATATAAATTAAAATATTTCCGTTCCTTTACACCTATTTCAGCTTTTCTTTAAATAATCAATACCAAAAAAGGGTTGAGCATTGATAATAACCTTAAAAACAAACAATTGGAGCTATTATATTTTAAGTACAGTACAGTTTGTTAGTTTAAGTTTGGTTTTATGGAATATTTTATATTTGTGCTCATTAATGGCTTATATTTTTCGTCTTTTTCTCAATATTTATTTTAGGTGAAGATTTGGTTCCAGAATCATAGATATAAATGTAAACGGCAAGCAAAAGAAAAGGCAATGGCTGAGCAAAATCAACATAATCAGGTAAAAAGTATTTCACTTAAAATAATTTTCCATTTTGTGTTCTTTAATATAGATTCTAAAATTTGTTTATTTATTAGATTTGGTAGATTCACACTTTAATAGAAAATTGCCTTTCCATTGACGAATACCTCAACAACAAAAATATATCTATTTAAAATTCAAATATCAATAAATCACTATCACATTATTTTACACCAAAAGTAGTGCGCTCTATTTAAGTTTTAAGAAATGGCTTCAATATATACTTTGAAAACAATAGGCTATTACAAGTGAAAAAGTGACATAAATAAACTAAGTTAAATTATTTTTTTAGACTTTTCCTATAGAACACCTACCTCCATTACTTTGCATTTGGTCCACCATCTAAAATTAACTTTCGTAATGTTTCCATTCGTGAAACCTTAAATGATTGGCGGGATTCAAATTTTCATGTCAGCCATATATTTTATCTAACGAAGGCAATTATTTTAGTGAGAAGGGAAAATTAATTTGTATTGTAATATATTCTTCAATGGGGTATAGTATTAAAATTTTTTTTTTGCACTTTTTTTATTTTTTTTTCTGAATGCACAACATCTTGAGAATATTGTGTTAAAGTTTTAGATCGATCCGAGTAAAGCTTCCGAACTTATGGGCAGTTGAACGTAGGTAAGTTAGCTCGTTTTGTATGCGTGTCCAAAACTTTAAAACGCTCTCCTGAAAAGTTACGGATCGTTTTGAAATTTTGCACAGTGGTTCTCAACTAAATTCCTCAGGTAACGCTGTCGAGTTTTTTTTTGAAAATTTATTATTTTTAGAGCAACAAATATCTCGACGTTTTAGGCGTAAATCGGTTATAACTTTCAAGTGCCTTAAAAAAGCAAAAAAAATACAAAAAATAGAAACTCGACAGCATTACCTGAGGAATCTTGTTCTTTAACTAATGCAATTGGATTTTTTCATTTCGGATGATTCTGTGAACGGTTATCGTGTACACCGCAAAACATCTTTTCTTCGAGCCGCCGCCGGAGATTGCATGTATTTCATTCAATTTTTAATATTTTTGGAAGAAAAAAATCATATTGTTTAATTGTTGCCCAATCACATGCAAAAAACCAAATAGAGCTGAGACTATCCGTATCGCCAATAAAAATTTTTTTAAAATGTCCGATTTTTCACCGAATTAACTATACCCCCCCTTAAACCGTTGCAAGGTCCAGTTCTCTCACGACCCGAAACAGTTTTATAACTTCGTTATCACCAAGCGTAAGTCTAATTCTTATCCCTCTTCGCTGTCGTTCGAAAACATAACGGCAACCACAGATTAGGCAATAGCCTATTTATTTGCCCAATTTTTTCATATATCCAAGTCAAACCTCATATTTTGTCCCACTTTAACAGAAAGCTCTCTTTCGATGGTATTCCAGGGTGCGTGCTGGACTTCTGCATGAATGCATCCAAAACGACAAATGAATCACTTATTCTAAAAGTGGGCACACTTTTTTTTCTGCACATAATATTTGGGTGTGAGTGAGTAGGGTAGTATTGTCTGTTATGATTGACCGTGTTTTCACATAGTTGTACAGCTGTTGATAAGTACCGCAAAATTGGTGTGCAGTAGTCAACGCACTGTACAGTGTTTTGGTGTGTAGTTGACTTACTGTACAGTGAGTAAAATTTCATGACTGGTTCATACACACATATATAATTGTCGTGTGTATGTATGTCATAGAAATAATACGATTCAAAATTGATTTGTATTTTTGTTTTAAATGTATTTATTTATTATAAAATAAAGAATTTATAAATTATTAATATTTTAATTAAAACTAATTATAATAATTATTTTATGTTATTAAAGAATCTATAGTGGTGGCAACTATTGACCGTTTTTCGCTAATTAAATTTTTGGCAAAAGAAAACGCCCTTTCCGATGCTGCACTGCTCGCGGGAGCTGCTAGTACCTTGCAGCTAATTTGATAATGCAGATTAAAGCGGTCTTTATTAATTGACCACCACGGCAGAACATCAAAATCTTCACTATACGCTTCATTTAAATTTTTATATGTTTGAAGTTCATCCTGAATAAAATGTTAGTGCTCTGAATGGGTTCTGAATAATCTGAAAATATATTATCGATATTTTGTGTAGGTTTAATTAATTTTTTATGTCATCATTTTGGCTATTTATATGAATATTAATCATCATTTATTGTACGTCTTTAAAAGTTTGTCCATTTCTAATTCTGAGAATTTAGAGTAATTTAAAATACTACACTCATCTGCACAGTTGTACACAGTTCACCACACAAGCTGTACAGCGTGTTTAAAAAAGGACAATGTAGTACTCACTCACGCAGAGTACAACCACTCGAAGTAAGTACACTGAAAATGTTGTGCTATCTTCTTCTGGGCCTATAAAGTATACTGTACAGTAGAGAATGAGTACAGTATTTTTAAAAACACTACACTACTGTAGAGATCTGTTATGCTACAAATGAGTACATTCATGCTGAAGTCTAGTGCGTGCTTAGGTATTGCACTAAGGCCCTGTGCAAACCTCTACACAAGTTGCTTACCTTATCTCTATAAACCTCCCAGTTCCCAAATATTTGGAAGGAATCATTTGTTATTCCTCTTTTCAAAAAAGGTAACAAGTTAGAAGACAGTAACTACAGAGGTATTTCTAACTTGTCAGCTATTCCTAAGCTTTTTGAAAAAATCATTACTCCTCTTTTGCAGCACCTTTGTAGATCAATCATTTCTCTGTGTCAACGCGGATTTATTAAACGTAGATCCACAATCACAAACCTTCTAGAGATTACTACATTTGTGATAAAGGGCATCAATAGTAGTTTTCAAACAAACGTCATTTACACTGACTTTAGTAAAACATTTGGCTCTGTAAATCACTTACTTCTTGTTCAGAAACTTGACCTGTTACGTTTTCCAGTTGATCTCCTTATATGGATCTCAAGTTACTAGAATAGCAGGTCACAAATGGTCCTTTTAAAAACTTAAATTTCTGAAATTCTCCGTGTTACCTCCGTTGTCCCTCCAGAAAGCCTTCTTGGTATGCTTCTTTTTATATTATTTAATAACGACCTTCCTTTAATTATAAGTCATTCTCGCGTACTTATATAAGCAGATTATGATAAATTATGCGTGCACTATAAGGAAATGCCACTTAGACTTAAAACCCGATTTAGAAAGCTTTCAAAACTGGTGCCTGGATAATTTACAAAATTAAAACGGCTATAAGTGCAAGCTGATGACTTTTATCGGGTCAATCACTACAATTTTGGATAAAATAATTCTTGTAAAAGATGTTGGTGTCCTTTTAGACGCAAAACTAAAGTTGTCTATTCAGAGGCGTGTTTGGTTCATTTAAATTTATTATCCCTAACCACATAAATTAAGTTTCGCAAACCTTTAAAAAACTTTGCATTGCATTTTATTGAGTCTGTTTTGTGTGCAGTGTTTAGCTTTGAATTTAATAGAACTAAATATTGAGCTGTATAAGACAAAAGTCTTTTTACGTCAACGATCAACAGTGCTAGAGAAAGCGAGTTTTATCTGTCCCATAAAGCTCCACGGGGTGTGTAATTCTCTTTACAATTACACTCCTCGTGGAGCCTTATAGGTAACTCAAAAAAAAGGTTCAGTGAAGATGAGATTTATCTGTTTTAACGTTGGCTACTTATAAGGCTCCACAGTTAAGACAATAAGGGTAGTTGTAACGCGATTGATCACTTTGGGAGAAACTCCTCTTTGAAAATTGTGATTTAAACTCTGATGAGCTGCAATCTCTTTGTGTTTGAGGCCACGTGTAGCGCAAACAGCCAGGTTGACCCTTGCTTGAACATGCCACTGCGCCGACGAACTGGACTTGAGTATTTGTTCTACCCGGTTTGCGACAAGGGTTTTTAAGCGGGCCATTTTCACATTCAGCTGAAAGTAGCCAGGCTGCGGTTTCATATTGAATTCGAGCCATCGATTTCAATGTGACGCAAGCTATTTACGAATTCCTGTAGTAGAGGTGGTAGAGCTTTATCCCATGCTGTCGGAGGGTAATTTGGAAAAAAAAAACGTTAAATTCGAGTTCTTCTGGCCTCTTTTAGGATCCCCTGCCCAAAGGGTTATAAAGCTTAACAACTGTGGAAAGAAGACAAAATAATCACATTTAGGGTGCCAATTAAGCCCAAAAGTTTTTAAAGAACCCTGATTGTCGAGTTCCAACATGTTGGTGCTTGACCGATGTTTTAAGGAAATATCACTCAGAAGCGATTTAAGATTTGCAGACCATTTTCCGGCTACCATTCCTTCAGTAATCACCCAATCAGTTGGTCATTTTCAGAGCAGCGGTAATTAAAGAATACCCGTTTTGCATATAATGTACATTACTTTCAACCTGTACTTCCAAATGCCGTTCCAAAACTGACTGTGTCAAAGCAACATTCACATCGTAGGTTGTGTTCATCAGGTCAGAAAATTGCATGAAATAGTGAATGGACATCTACATTCTTTGCAAGTCAGCAGCAAAAATAAAACGGTTTGAATGCTAAATCTTTATATCTTATATTAGTTAAATATTACTGTTTTAAAAGAATTTCCATAGTTTTTTATGTTTTTGTCTAAATAAAATTTTGGCCAATACCTTTTATCAAAGTCGGATTATTTATCCTGTTGGCAGCTACTGAATGTACGCTTCTATGCAGTTTATTCAAACGGTGTAAAAGCTGTTAACGTGATTCTTTGCTAACTGTATCTGTTTTTGTGTACACTGATCTTGCCATTCAGATGACTATACAGTAAGCTAAACGATTTGTTTTTAATCCTCTTAAACTTAATTTTAACATATTTTTGAATTTTTGAGATTTCAAATCTAAAGAGCCTCTCTTAGCGATGGGGCAGAGCATTAAAGCAGCACAATTCTGCTTGAGTTCGTTGATTGTGGGCTGGGTATAAGTCGCAATATTTAAAAATAAAATGGAACGCAATTTATTTTATAATGATTAGTTC